ACCAATAGATCTGTGTTGGAAGAAGTGCAGCCAGAGTGTTCCTTGGAGGCCAGGATGGCCAAACTTCGTCTCTCATACTTCAGACATATTGTCAGGAAGGACCAGTCACTGGAGAAGGATATCATGTTTGGTAAGGTGGAGGGTCAGAGATAAAGAGGAAGACTCCCAGCAAGATGGATTGGCAAAGTGGCAGCATCAATGGGCTCAAGTGTGGCAACGATAGTGAGGTTGGCCCAGGATCAGGCAGTGTTTCATTCTCCTGTGCATAAGGTCACAATGTTGTTGTTGTGAAGTGCCGTCAAGTCCAACCCATAGCAACCCTGTATAGGGTTTCCGAGGAGCAGCTGGTGAGCTTGATCCACCGACCTTGCAGTTCAAATGGCTTTGCAGTCTGGCGCATTAACCCACAGTGCCACACAAGGTCACTATGAGTCAGTACTAACTCGATGGCACCTAACAACAACAAGAAGGAAGGAATACCATGGAATCCTGGTGTGGTACTTTAGGAAAAGCAGTGTACTGCTAGGTGGTTCAAATCCACCAGCTACTTCTTAGAAACTTTATACACTAGGAGTTGGAACTGACTCAAAGGTACTGAACAACAGGGAAGACCATAGAAGAATTAATCCATCTGAACTATGTTATTGGTGAAGAATATTAAGTATACCAATAACTTCAGAAGAACAAACAAATCTGTTTTGGAAGAAGTATAGCCAGAATGCTCCTTAGAAGTGAAGATGGTAAAACTTTGTCTCTAGTGCTTTGGACATGTCGTAATTTGGAGATCAGTCCCTGGAGAAAGACATCACTCTTGGTAAAGTGGAGGCTGAGTTAAAAAGAGGAAGATCCCCAACAAAAAGGACTGACACAGTGGCACCAACAATGCGCTCAAAAATAACAACAACTATGAAGATGACACAGGACCACGAAGTGTTTTGTTCTGTTGTGCATAGTATCGCTATGAGTCAGAACAGACTCAACAGCACCTAACAACATATTCACACAGAGTGGGAGAAAGTGTGAAACAAAGGAAGAACAGAACTTAACTATCTAAAACAATGTCAATGAGTTATATAGTGTTGTTGTGTCAATCAGCTGAGCATCATCTGTATTTCTGTGGAAAGGCATCACCAGCCTTTCTGAGGGAATGGAGGATGGAAGAATGAGTGAGGAGCAGAAGTCTCCGAATAATGGAAGGGAAAGGATGTAATACTGCTGACTCTGCTGCCCTCTATTGCATGCATTCAGGAAATACATGGAAAAGAAAATAGTAGAAGCCCCTCCTCTAAGCAGTTAAGAAAAGTAGAGAGTATGGCTTCTGAATCTACCAGCAGATCTGATCCCCCTGCGTCAGCACCACAGTTTACAAATGAGTCCAGAGAGAGCACAGTACAAAACCATTAACAGAATTTCAGACATTTTCTTTTTGTCTCCCAAGTTGTACCTGAATAAATGTTCAACTAAATGTGAATGAGGTTGTCTGAAGATACGTTAGGTGAGAGATGAATGGGAGTCAGTGTTTTGTATTTCTCTTTTCTCTATGTAATTAAAATGAAGGGGTAGTTTTAAGAGCAGTTAAGTCTTAAAAATTTATTCTATATATAAGTTTCTTTACTAAATGGAACTTATTTTCTTACTGTTGCTTGCAAAAAAAGGATTAATTAGTAAATTGAGTTAATCAGACTGGGTTTCTTATTACTAGTCAATTCCCACAGTTCAAATTTCATCACTTCACCTCAAGATTACTGTTTTAATATCAAAATGTTATACTCACAGATGACTAAAGTAACCTCAAATTTCTTAATTAAAGAAATAAAACCAAAGTATATAGAATGTACTTAGTAAAGCATCTCCCCACTTAGGAGAAAGGCAGAACCTGACAGGAGACATCAGTCAAGAGGAGAATGTGGGGATTATGTAGCCAGTAACACACACAAGAGATGAATAATAATAAATGGATAGTATTGACCTTGAGAACCTACAGTTGGTCAAACTCCATTAACCTTCCTTTTGTGCAGCCGAGATGCTCTTCATGTTGTTAGTTGCTGTTCTGTTAATCCCAAATCATGACAACCCCTCAAAGTTGTGACCTTTGGGGAGCAGATCACCAGGTCTATCTCTAGAGGAGCCTCTGGGTAGATTCAAACTGCACAATCTTTCAGCTAGTAGTAGAGTGCTAACTGTTTGTACCACCCAGCAACTCCTAATTCCCTGTATGATTTTGTTGTTCTGGCTCACAGCAACCCTATGTGACAGAACAGATCTGTCCCATAGGGTTTCCAAGGCTGTAATCTTTATAGACGTTGATCACCAGGATCATGGAGCTGCTGAGTGAGTTCAAATTACAAACATTCACCAGGCTCTTTTGATTCCCTGTATAGCATGTCTAAATAGAGAGTTGATATATTAATTTCAACTTAGAGTTTAAACAAAATCTAAACAGATGTGTATTGGAGAAAAGCAGAAGAGTCTGGCGAATAACCACAGAAACTCTTTTTGGGTTGCTTGGCAATAAGCTAGCAGGGACCATGGAGCTTCCCAGGAGGAGGACCATGCTTAGCAACTTCTCATGAGACCAAGAGCCCCCAAGGTCTCCATGTGCTGGGAAGGTATTTCCCAACAATCTCATAAAACATTGGTACCAAAGCTTAAACTGGTGGGTTCTGAATCTAAAACACGTATTTCCATCATATAAAGAAGCTCTCATGCTGGTTCTCTTAAAAGAGAGTGGACGGGGAAGGAGGGACACAGAATAAATGAACAATGGAAGATGGGATCGCTCTGCTGTAATCATATCCCAGATTGCTAGTTGCAGTCTGGCCAAACATGTGTCTCTGTAGAAACCTAGAGAACAAAGAGCCACACGTACTATGAACTCTTCTCTTTTGAGTTCTAGACTGTACTAAGCGATGCTCACTGGTATTCACCCAGGCCCTTTGCTCATCAGTACTAACTCTCATTCAAATAAACAATGATTAAATGATATCACCTCAATTAGTCACACACTCTAAAGAAAGAGTTCCTGGGTTGCACAGAGCTTGTTGGTAACTGAAAGCTTGGTGGTTCAAGGCTACCCAGAGGTGCTTCAGAAGAAAGATGGCAATCTACTTCTGAAAAAGCAGTCCCTGAAAACGCCATGGAGCACAACTCCACTCTGACACACCTGGGGTCATCATGAGTCAGAGGCGACTTGATGGCAACTAGTAGCTTAACTGGAGTCCTGCCTGGTGTGGTGCTGTAGGCTATGCACTGAACTGCTAACTGCAAGATCAGAGGTTCAAATCCACCAGCAGCTCCTTGAAAACCCTATACAGGGTAGCTACAAGTCAGCATTGACTCCACAGCACCCAACAACAACAACAACAGTGTAGCCTAGTGATAGAAAATAATCGTCTATGTTGACTCAGTGAAGAGAGAAATTACATACAGGTATTTAATACAATGTGAATGTTTTATCTACTTTCCAGGAAAAGAAGACACTAATTTTATTATAATTCTGGATGTGAAAATACAAGGCAATCAAGTTATCTCTTCAACAACCCTACCTCTGTCTATACAGATCCCTTTACTGGTCCAACAACATCTGGAAAGTACATAAAAGCACAACCATTGTTTGCTTTGGATCTATCTGCAAAAAATGCCCAGACTCTTTCCCCTTTCTCTTGTCCTTTGACTAGGCTCTACTTTGTGGTTGCCAAGACCTGCTCTTCCCATAACATCAAGACAGAGCACAGAGGAGACTATGAGTGATCAACGACATAAATGTTTTCTATTACCTGCTTCTTTTGCCATGTCAGGATAGTCTCTTGAATTCTGATCTCCAGGCTTTAAAAACTAGAAATTTAGAGAGAAAAAAAATTTAAACAAGTATAATTAGAGCTTTCATAGCTGAAACCCATTCTGCTATTTATTTAAGCATAAACATATTAAAACCGTGAGTATTCTTAGCAACAACAGGAAATAAAATGTGCAAAAAACACACTGAGAATCTATCATGGGGACTTCTGACAAGATAGCAGCTAGGCAGATGCACTCCTCGGATCCCCCACAGATAGGAGAGACAAAATAAAACAAACGTAGATGAAAATTCTGACACCCTACACTTCAGGAGCTCTGGTAGCGTAGTGGTTACGAATCGGGCTGCAAACCTTAAGGTCAGCGGTTCGAAACTACCAGCTGCTCCGCGGGAGAAAGATGAGGCTTTCTACTCCCGTAAAGATTTACACCCTCGGAAACCCTGTACAGGGTCGCTATGGGTCGGAACCGACTCGACGGCACTTAACAACAACAACAACACTTCAGAAGAAAGGTCAGAGAGGTAGATGGAGTACTTTCTGGGAAGAAAGGTCAAACGGGTACAGTGAGAGAGGGAGACTGACTGGTGAATAGCTGGTCAGACACAGCTCAAGCAGCTTGTCAGCAGCTTGGCAGCAGAGGGAGCTCTGGCAGAGCAGATTCATACAGGCAACAGAAAAGGAGTGAGTTCTTCTTTTTCCCCATGCTCCCTTGGTGACCAAGAATGTGGCCAGTTCCCACCCTCATCTACCCCCAGCACAGACCCAGCTTTCCAGGAGTTGGGAGCCATAGCACTGTGAGGTGGAGGCTAGCTGTACCACTTTGATGGCTGGATTCAGGTAAGCCTGTCTACAGACCTACAAAATCCAGAGCCACCAACTACAAGCCACACTGCTCCCAGCTTCCTTGTGGTCCTAGCAGACACTAAACCAGCTCCATCAAACTACCTCTGGACTGAGCATGCTCTGAACATAGATAACACTGAGGCCAATAGGAACTCTATCTAGGTTCAGGAACTCTGGTTGTCACATACCTTCCACAACCACCTCATGAGCATCTTGAATTGCAGGAGCTCCCCCAGAGATTTCTCCCCTCTGGGTCCAACAATTCCACTGTTGGTTTTTTAGAAATACAACCCCACAATGAAGACAACAGACAATTTTAGCTCACACTAAAAACAAGAGAGAATGGCTCAAACAAAAGACCAAGATGCAAAGCCAGAAAACAAATCTGAGCAAGAAAAGATAATAGACGTAACTGAAAAAGAATTTTTTTTTTAAATGATAATTAGGTACCTGCAAAGAATCAATAGAAAGATCTAGGAAAGCAAGAAGAACACAATAAAAACTTTAGAATTCAGGAGAATCTATCATGTTCCTGGACTCTGATGATGATAATATATAGTCTTTGCTTTCAAGGAGCTTCTAGTCTAATGGAAAGCAGGCAATTACACTATAGTGACCCAGGTAGAGATGACTTGGGAGGGACAACTATCCAGCCTTGAAGGGATGGCAAAAAGGCTTTTCAGATGAATTAACATTTAGAGTGAGTCCTTAAAGAAGAGGAGTTAGTAAAATGAAAATGAAGGAAATTCTAAAATAAAGGTCTGGAAGTGAGAAAGCACAGCATGATCATGAGACTGCACTCTAGATGCAAAAGCACTGGTCCATTTACCGCAAGGTCAGCGGTTCAAACCCAACCACTCCTCAGAAAACCTAAACAGGGTTGCTATGGATCAGAACTGACTCAATGGCACATACCAGAAAGAAGATGCAATTGTTGTTGTTGTTAGGTGCCTATGTACAATATAAACACTGTTCTGGAGGCAGTGAGATCAGTTGGTTTGATTCTGAAATAGTCCAAGTGAAAACTGACTAAAATAACAGCAAAGTAAATGGAAAGTGGATAGATTTAAGAAACATAAAGGAAGTAGAAACCTGCTGAACTTGGTGACTGATATTAGATGAAGTTGAGTGGTTTGCTAGTCAGCGGTCATGCTAAAGAATACTGACTCTCAAACTTTTCTTTTGACTACACTCAATAGGACAGATTTAACAACATGAGTTAGTATAAACCTAGTACTATCAAGTCAATTCTGATTCATAGGACCCACAGGATTTCTGAGATTGTTAATTACAGGAGCACACAGCTCATCTTTCCCCCATGGAGGGGCTGGTCATTTTGTACGACTGACCTTGTAGTTAGCAGGGTAACACCTAACTCACAGGAACACTAGGGATTCTTAGGGTTCAATGTGCACATTCTCAATAACATAATTAGAGCAAAAGGTTCACCAATAGCTACCTTTGTTATACTGATACAATAGTTTCAACTCTATTACTTTTTTAAGGCTAGAGAATTAAGCTTTTGGCTGCAGACCGCAGGTCAGGGGTTCAAACCTACCAGCTACTCTGTGGAAGAAAGATGAGGCTGCCTGCCCCCACAAAGATTTAGTCCTGGAAATCCTATGGAGCAGTTCTACTCTGTCCTACAGGATTACTATAAATCAGAATCATCTTTCTCCTGTGGACCAGCTGGTGGATTTGAACCATCAATCTTTCTGTTAGCAGTCCAGTGCTTACCATAAAGCAGCAGCAGTGCTCCTTTCGAAGAGTCACTAAAGTAAGAATTGCCTTGATGCCAGTGGGAATGATTAAATGATCATCTATACAGAAAAAAACTAGACTTTCTCATTTCTTACTGAAATCAGGGAAATTGTTACAGGTTCTTGTTGTTAAGTATCATCGACTTAGTTCCAACTCAGGGTTTCGAAGGAGCAACTGGTGGGTCTGAACCACTGATATTGTGGTTAGCAGTTCAGTGTTTATCTTACAACACCACACCAGGACTCTTAAAAGATTAGTCAAGCAAATAAACACCTACAGCATTACTCCTTCAAAATTAAAAGCAAGTTAAGGTAGAAACTACCAAATGTTCGTCAAACAGCAGACTGGGTAAACGTGACAGGCTCACACAATGGACCATTTTATTGAATGTACTGTAACTACAATTATGAGTGAACTTCACAAATGTAATGCTAAACTAAATAAGGCAGAATTAATACATGGTGTGGAATGTCAGCAGTCAGGCTAATCCTAATAACCCTCTTGGTTTCCAATATTACTCAAATTTATGCACCAACCACTAAAGCCAGTGAGGATGAAATGGAAGAATTCTACCAACTTCTTCAATCTGAAATTGATCAAACTTGCAATCAAGATGTATTGATCATTACTGGTGACTGGAATGCAAAGGTTGGGAACAAAGAGAAAGGATTAGTAGTTGGAAAATATGGCCTTGGTGATAGAAATGATAGTGGAGATCGCTTAATAGATTTCTGCAAAATCAATGATTTGTTCATTTCAAATACCTTCTTTAGACAGCATAAGAGGCGACTATACACATGGACCTCACCAGATGGAATACACAGAAATCAAATTGACTACAACTGTGGAAAAGGACGATGGAAAAGCTCCATATCATCAGTCAAAACATGGCCAGGAGCAGATTGTAGAACAGACCATCAATTGCTCATACGAAAATTCAAACTGAAGCTGAAGAAAATGAAGACAAGTCCACAAGAGCCAAAACAGGACCTTGAATATATCCCACCTGAATTTAGAGATCATCTGAAGAACAGATTTGATACATTAAACATTAAAGACAGAAGACCACAAGAGATGTGGGATGACATCAAAAACATCATATTCAAGAAGAAAGCCAAAGTCATTAGGAAGACAAGAAAGATCAAAACAGATGTCAGAAGAGACACTAAAATGTGCTCTCCAGGGTAGAGATGCTAAAGCAAATGGAAGAAATGAGGAGATACAAGAGCTGAACAGAAAATTTCAAAGGTCAGCTCAAGAAGATGAAATCAAATATTACAACAAAATGTGCAAAGATCTGGAGTCAGAAAACCAAAAAGGAAGAACATGCTCAGCATTTCTTAAGCTGAGGGAACTGAAGAAAAAATTCAAGTTCATTACTGAAGGATTCTCTGGGCAAATTATTGATGCAGAAAGCATCAAAAGAAGATGGAAGGGATACACAGAGTCACTGTACCAGAAGGAAATGGTTGATGTTCAACCGTTTCAAGAAGTAGCATATGATCGAGAGTCACTGATACTGAAGGATAAAGACCAAAGTGCATTGAAGGAACTGGCAACGAACAAGGCACCAAGAATTCATGGAATAAAAACTGCAATCTTTCAAGAAAGTGAGCCGGCACAAGAGGCACTCACTCATCTCTGCCAAGAAATTTGGAAGACGACTATCTGGCTGACTGATTGGAAGAGATCCATATTTGTGCCCATTCCAAAGAGAGGCGACCCAAAGGAATGCAGAAATCATTGGACAGTATCTTTGATATCCCATGTAAGTTAAGTTTTACTAAAGGTAATACAGAAATGGCTGCAAGCATACATTGACAGAGAACTTCCAGAGGTTCAAGCGGAATTCAGAAGAGGGCGTGGAAGGAGGGATATCATTGCTGATGTCCGATGGATCTTGGCTGAAAGCAGAGAATATCAGAAAGATGTTTACCTGTGCTTTATTAAGTACACAAAGGCTTTCAATTGTGTGGATCATGACAAGCTATGGACAAAATTGTGAAGTATGAGTATTCCAGAATACACAATTGTGCTCATGAGGAATCTGTACCCGGACCAAGAGGTAGTTGTTTGAACAGAACATGGGAGTACACAGGTGTGTGACAGGGTTGTAGTCTCTCACCCTACTTATTTAGCCTGTATGCTGATGAAATAATCTGAGAAGCTGGGTTATATGAAGAAAAATGTGGCATCAAGATTGGAGGAAGACTCATTAACAACCTGCGATATGCACATGATACAACCTTGCTTGCTAAAAATTAAGATAAAATTAAATTTAAAAA